TCTGTATGATGAACTGTTCTCTCTTTGCAAAGATATGAATAAATGTGCCGACTGAGTGAAATCAATCGATCTCCGTTTATTTAACTAGGATGAATAGTTGAATACTTTTTTCCCACGACAACCTCTATTTGTATCGTTAATGGGCTGAATACCAGAGCTCTAAAAGTATTCATTTCCTGATACATCCAGCCTTATATCTGTTATTTTTCACTTTTAAGGAGAAAACTTTATTTTATTTTAAATTCTATTTAAAAATACTTTATTAATCCCAAAGAGAAATTAAATGTTGCAGTAACTCATACATAATTTTTTTTTAAACAGGTGTTACTCACCTGTATTTCATATGAAACAATAAGGACATCCTCTACAAGAGAAAATCACTGTTTCTGGATCCATGGTTCAGTCATGATAATATTCTGGTTGATCAGCTGTCTGACAACAGTGGCACTTCATTGAATTATGAGGGATTTCGCTCTAAATTGAACCTTCCTATGTCTTATGGAGAATATGCAAAGGTTTTCGGTGCTGTTTCAACTAGGATCTGCATGTTATTCAGACAGAGGCCAAGACTCGGTTCTTCTTCATCTCCTTCTCTGACTTCCATAGACTCTCCTGTGGGCAAAATATGTCTCACCTTCTCTCTTCATAAGAACAATAAGTCAATCAGATCCCTCTTTCAGAAAGAGGTGGCGTCTGTTCCTGCTGTTGTAATATTGGAACCGTCTGGTAGCTGCTGTATCCTGGAAACATACTAGGCTGCTACCTAATCAATATCTCCTCTCTAACAAGGTGAAGGAAGTTTTATTCAAACTCATTCACAGGATTTATCCTGTCAAAGACCTTGAAAAACCTTGAAAAAATTCAAATCTGATATTATTGTGAACTGCACTTTTTGAGATCTTCTTCCAGAATGTGTTACACATTTGTTTTGGTTGTGTCCACACTCTCAAACTCTGGCAACACTTTAGTAACTATGTGGATTCAAATATTTTAAAAGATTTTCAACTTCATTGGGAAAACGTTCTATTTGGTTTTCAGCAGCAAACTAAAATGTTCCCCAAACCTTTCCTTTTTCCTTTAATTATCTTGGCTAAATTTCATTTGCATATATAACATTTTCTAAAAATATAAAATAAAAATAATAAAAAGCCATAGTTGAATGTTTATTTAATTGGACTCAAACAATATTTTAGTACTATGAAACCCTCTTTTCACCAATAGGGTCAGAAAACTATTTTAATCTGCTCCCAACTAAAATTTCTGGACAATTTATCAATGTAGAAAATATGTGTATTTTTACAGTATATGTATGTATATGTGTTTATATACATACGTATATATATGATACTCCTAAACACATATGTTTGTAAGTTTGTTTGTCTTTCCTCCTGACTGTACTTGCTTATTGTGATATTATTATACCCCCTGGCATATTTGTTTGTTTATTTTATATGTTATTGTTGACTTTAAGTGAAATAAATAAAAATAAA